CATAATCCCCCTTCAGGCCTTTTTTCTAGTTGGAAACTGTTCAGGGCCGGCTGTGGCCATTTGGTTTTAATTGGAAATTGTTTCTTTAAATTTCAAGGAGAGCTGTGCGCATGCATAGTAGAACCCTCCGAGGGTGGAGCTGGGGTGCCCACTAGCTCAGGCACCCTTACAGTCACCAGAATGGAGGTGCGCAGACAGCAAGGGACCAATGAACAGCTACCAAAAGAAAAGAATGTCCACACCTTTATCTCAGCCATTCTGCCAGGAGTCTGTGGCTGCTCTGATCCTTCCCCCGCTTGGTCTCACCCAAGATGGCGGCTCCTGGAGTAGCCGAGCATCCTGAACTAGAAAGCAATAGATTTCTTGCTTCTGCCACAAATTCCCCCAGCTGTGAACCTTCCAAGCTTCTAAATATTCCGTTATATGTGGTTCAGAGTTCTGGAACCATCCCCCTGATCCTGCTTGGTCGGGTATTCTGTGTTGTTGTTGGCGGAGCTCTTTACTACATGTCCACCTGATCCTCCATCTTGTTTGTTCTCCCTTCCATCTTCTTTTGATGCTTTCTGCATCTTTCAATATTATACCCATAGAAACCTTCAATATTTGAAGTTGAGGATTAAATTTTTTCTTCAGTTCCCTCAACTTGAGGAATGCTGAGTGTGTTCTCCCCTTTTGGTTTTCTAACTCCAGATCTTTGAACTTTTCATTATAATGTTTGATTTTGTCTTCTTGAGCTGACTTTTATTCAGCTTTTACCTCCCCATTTATTCCATTTGCTTTAGCATCTCTACGTTGGAGAGCAAGGTTCAGAGTCTCTTCTAACTTCAATTTTGGTCTTTTCCCACTTTGTCTTCTTAATGACATTTTGCTTTGTTTTGTATGATGTTCTTGATGCCATCTCATAACTCTTCTGGTCTTCAGTTTTTAGTGTCCAATACATCAAAACTGTTCTTCAGATGATCTCTAAATTCAGTTGGAATATGTTCAAGGTCATATTTTGACTCTTGGGGATTTGTTTTAATTTTCTTCAGCTTCAGCCTGAACTTGCATATGAGCAATTGAGGGTTTGTTTTACAGTCTGCCCTGGCCTTGTTTTGACTGATGATGTGGAGCTGTTCCATCATCTCTTTCCACAAATGTAGTCAATTTGCTTTCTGTGTATTCCATCTGGTGATATCCATGTGTAGAGTTGTCTTAAAAAGGTATTTGCAATGAAGAAGTAATTGGTTTGCAAAATTTCATGTAATGTCCATCATCGTTTCTATCACCAAGGCCATATTTCCCATATACTGATCCTCTTTTTTTCCAACCTTTGCAATTCAATTGCAATTATCAATACATCTTGATTGCATGTTTGATCAATTTCACACTGAAGAAGTTGATAGAATTCTTCAGTTTCATCATCACTGGTTTTACTGGATCATGCATAAATTTGAATAATAGTGGTATTAACTGGTATTCCTTATAGGTGAGTGGATATTATCTTATCACAAATAGTGTCGTACTTCAAGACAGATCTTGATATGTTCTTTTTGATGATGAATGCCACCCCATTCCCTCTTCAATTTGTCATTCCCAGCATAGTAAAACATTTGATTGTCAGATTCAAAATGTCCAGTGTCAGTCCATTCCCGCTCACCAATACCTAGGATATCAATGTGTGTATGTTCCATTTCATTTTTTACAACTTGTAATTTTACTAGATCCATACTTGTATGGTCCAGTTCCAATTATTAATGGATGTTTACAGTTGTTTCTCTTCATTTTGAGTTGTGTCCTTCCAGCAAATGAAGGTCCCAAGGGCTTTACGCCATTCACACTATTAAGGTCAACTACTTTGAAGAGGCAGCTCTTCCCCAGTCATATTTTGAGTTAGTTTCAACCTGAGGGGCTAATCTTCTGGCAATATACCTAACAATGTTCTGGTGCTCTTCATCATGTTTCAATATTCAATATTCTGGTGCTGACTGTGTTCCACTGTTATTCATAAGGTTTTCAGTGACTAAATATCTGGAAGTAGTCCATCTTCTTCTTCCTAATCTGTCTTTGTCTGGAAGCTCTGCTGAAACCTGTCCACCATTGATGGCCATGTTGGTATTTAACATACCCATGGCATAGCTCCCAGAATCACAGCAACAGACAAGCCACCTCAGTACAACAAACTGACAGATGAGTAGTGGATGAGCACAGTATTAAACATTTTTGTTCTTCACATTTCTCATCTGTAAAATGAATAAAATAAGGCCTATCTTAGAGAACTGTTGGCTAAGTGAGATAAGATACCTGGCACATCAGTGCTCAGTCATTGGTAGCTATTTCTGTAATTATTTGCATACCTCGCTCTCTTGACAGAAGTTCTTTAAAAGCAGGGATCATTTTTTAAATCATCTTTTCTTTCCATAATTGACATAGTGCCTGGCACACTGTTGACTTTCCAAAATTTGGGTATAAATGAATGATGAATGGAATGAAATAGGTAGTTGATCACGATGTTATTAGGGTTATATGCATTTTTTTTCCTGATGCTAAAACCAAGGGGGAGCTCATGTCTGAATTCCCCATAGCTTCACAGGGGGGAAGAAAATTAAATTCAAAATCAGCTGCAAACAAATTCCTTTGAAGAAGTCAGATATGCTTCCACCCTACAATCTCCTTTACCCTGTTCTGACACCAACCATTCCTCCCACAACCATTCCTCTTCTTCACATCTGGGTTTGACAATCCATTGCAATGGCCACACAGAAGTCATAACAGTTCTCACAACTATGGGGCTTATTAGGGAAGTGAACAGGGTACAATTCAGGATCAAAACCAACTCAGGACAGAGTAGTTCTCCAGTCAGGAATGCCTTTTGTCTGCCATATTGCTGGTAAGCCTCACTCTTGTCTTCAGCCTCTCAGCCATGAGGCTTCTTGGCCTCTGTCCTGCTCAAGCAAGTGATACAAAGCTCTTTTAGCCAGGCTGTAAATGCTCAAAGGGCACATTCTACAAGCCAGTCTCCTGCCTATAGGCGCTTAGCTTTACTGAGTCCATGGACCTAGGGGTGGACGTTGTTCTGTCTCTCCATGCCACCACCTCTGCCATTGCCTCTGATGTCGTCTCTTGCTGTCACCTCTTGATGTTTCATGCTCTTGCTTCTTGATAGTCCTGGGATCTTCCATCTCTGCTTCTGAGATGGTTCCTTTTAAACCTAGCTGGAGGGCAAAACTAACCAATCCTAGCCTTATGGTTCCAAATACCTTATTTGCATGGGTGTGGCATTGTGTATTAATACACTGGACTGCAAGGCTGGTTTGAATTGCAAGGTTGGTGGTTTAAACTCACCAGTCACTCCTTGGAAACCCTATAAAGGGTTGCTATGAGTTGGAACTGACTTAACAGCACTTAACAACAACAACCCAATCACCTGGTGGGAATTAAGAAGACTTTGGATAGAAAAGCCTTATCAAGTAAATCCACGGCACCACAGCTGAGTTAGAATTACAAAAAAGAAAGGTTGGAGTAAGACCAAGGGTTGAGATTACATAAATTTAACAACACAAGAAAGAACTTAATATTGATACCCAGGAACTCTTTCTTCAAGGTTATAGGGTACACCAGAAAAATTAAGAACTAAGTCATTACACTGACAGAATAAACAGATGAGGCCTTTTTCCTGGAGTTTACAGTCAGGTAAAATGTTCTATCAAAAGATCCACAACCTATAACTATTATTAGAGTCCTGATGTGACGCTGTGGGCTAATGCGCCAGACTACAAAGTCATTTGAACTGCAAGGTCGGTGGTTCAAGTTCACTAGCTGCTCCTTGGAAACCCTATACAGGGTCACTATGGGTTGGAATCGACTCCATGGTACTTAACAACAAAACAACAACATACCTGTTACTATAGAGTCCTGGTGTGGCGCTGTGGGTTAATACGCCAGACTGCAAAGCCGTTTGAACTGCAAGGTTGGCGGTTCAAGCTCACCAGCTGCTCCTCAGAAACCCTATACAGGGTCGCTGTGGGTCAGAATTGAGTCGACGGCACTTAACAACAACATACCTATTACTGGGGAGTATGGTGTCTCTACATAAGCACTGGACTGCAAACTACAAGATCGGTGGTTTGATCCCACCAGACGCTTCGCAGGAGAAAGATTAGGCTTTCTGCTCCCCCTATACAGGGTCACCATGACTCGACACTTTACAACAAACAACAACATACCTGTTAACTGCATTTACAGCATTTTGCACTTTTTGGTCTCCCTCTTTTAATGGAAAAAGCTTTTAGTTCCTCATTTGACTTTGAATTCCCAGCATGCAGCAGTGTGTAATGCACACATGCTCAGTAGATGTAGAAAATTAATGGCATGGCACTAAAAGTACTAGTAGCACTAGTAGAACTAGAAGCTAATTCTATTCTAGTTCCTTTTCCAAAATGCGGACAGTGGAGATATTCTTTACTTCAAATGCGCAAACTCCTCATCCCAAGATCCTGAGGTTTCCTTCTCGCTGGCTTTTCTTTGGGGTCTGCACCAAAACATGAGATAGAAATAATGACAAAATGGAAAATAACTTTTTTTTCTTTTAAAAAAAGTTTCAGCGATTCCAGAAGTTAGCGTGATAAAGCAGTAGCATGCTCTGTAGCTTAGAATTTAAATTTCCACCAAGTGGAGAGCACCACACAAGTACCCACGGAACTGGCTCTGTGGGGTTACGGATGACCCCAGCCAGCTTCAGCAAATCCAAACTGTTGGAGTTGTGAGCGCGGTGTTTTCGGGGATTTGTAGTATCCAGCGTGTAACTACAATTCCCGGCAGTCACTGGGCTCCAAGGTCGGCCCTCTTGCCTGGGGGCGTAGCCCAGCGCGAACCTTAAGGCGGGCGTTCCTCTTTCGCCCTCCTTACCGAGAGTGACGCAACCGACCGGGTGGAGCGAGTAGCATGTGTTACCTTTGACTCGGGTTGCCGGCTCTAGGCCCAGTAAACTTCTCGAGTCTGTGAGCTCTTTACCTGCGGAGATGCCAAAAATCAAATCAGGGACTAGGGGCCGGCGCCGCGAGCGACAGGAAGAGCGCCCGGCGCTGAAGAGCGGCGGAGGTGCTGGCAACCCAGAGAGGTTTTGGGGTTGGGTCTGGTCGTTACTTGGGGTGGAACCCTCCGAAACCTGAGCGGGAGCCGCAAGACCAGGCTGAGCCGGCTCTCCAGTGAGTGCGGAAGTCTGGGCTTCCGGGGTGCCGGTCACAGGCCCAGCACGCGTCTTCTGCCTTGCGAGCAAAGGGATGGGCTTAAAGCAGTTCTCACCGTCCCAGCGCTCACCAGGACGTTTGGTGGCTGTGGTTGGCTTAGAAGTCTTCTTCTCTGGGACGGCTGTTCAACTTAATTCTCTGGGACGGCCTACTGTTTACTCTAGTTGGGAAATTAAAGCTATTTTGTGTTTTTTTTTTTCCAGGTCTCATGTTCAACACGGGGATTGGGCAGCACATTTTGAAAAATCCTCTGATTGTTAACAGCATTATCGATAAGGTGGGTGTGAAAGAGCAAAGGGAGAGAGTTATTGAATTAGTGATTTTGTTCTGAGGAATACCTAACCGCAGAGAGAATGCATGGTATAACCAAAACCAAACCCCCGCAAAACTCTCTGGGATGGAATAGGATTTCCAAGGCTGTAGAAACAGAGATCTGTTGGAGGACTACGGTGTGCCTGATCCAAACCATAGTATTTTCAGTAGCCTCATATGCATGTGCAAGTTGGACACAGACTAAAGAAGTTGGAGAAGAATGTTAAAAGTACCCAGAAGAACAAACAAATCTGTGTTGGAAGAAGTGCAGCCAGAACCTCCTTAGAAGCCAGAATAGCTAGACTTAGCCTCTCATACTTTAGAGATGTTATCAAGCGGGATCAGTTCCTGGAAAAGGACATCATGTTTGGTTAAAACAGAGGTTCAGCGAGCAAGAGGAAGATGTCCAATGAGATGGACTAACACAGTGGCAGCAGCAGTGGGCTCAAGCTAACATGTTATGAAGATGTGTTTTGTTCTGTTGTGCATAAGGTCACTATGAGTCGGAACCGACTTGACAGCACCTTATAACAACAACGAAACAGTTCGGGTAGCAGTGGTTACAAATCGAACTGCTAATCTAACGGTCAGCAGTTCGAAACTACCAGCTGTTCCATGGGAGAAAGATGAGGCTTTCTGCTCCCATAAAGATTTACAGCCTCGGAAACCCTGTACACATAACAACAACAACAGTAACAACAACACTGAGGCTGTCTCTCAATGGCTAGTGGGTTCAAATTGCAGTCAAGCGCTCTAAATATTGTGCCACCAGGTCTAATTATGCTTGATACGTTGTTGTTATGTGCCATGGAGTTGGTTCCGACTCATAGACCCTGTACAGGGTTTCCGAGGCTGTAAATCTTTGCAGGAGCAGAAAACCTCATCCTTCTCCCGTGGAACGGCTGATAGTTTCGAGCTGCTGACCTTGTGCGGTTCGTAGCCTGATTCTTAACCACTACACTACTAGAGCTCTTTATGCTTGATATAAATGCTCTATAAATATTTGAACGAACCAAAGAATTGTATAGGATTTATATGCTATCTTCTGCATGATCTGCTTTACACTGTGAATGTGGGTGTCGTCTGTCCCCAAATTTTGTGTCTTTATGTAGATTAGCCACCTCATTAGCAGGACTTCAGCTGCAGATTGTATTCTTTAACTCTTAATACTTATTCTCCCCACCACCTATCACTGTTGGTTTCTGTTTGCTCCAGAACCTAAAATTGTATTTAAACCACACCTTAGGAAGTTTGTTCCTCAGGCTAACGTGTATGGTGCAATCCATGCCACATATGTTATTTGTACTATTCTTTTTATATGGGTCATGTTGTTGTTGTTAACTGTTGTCAAGTCACTTCTGACTTATAAGTGACTATATAGGGTTTCCGAAGAGACGCTGGTGAAATTGAACCACCAACCTTGCAATTCATACTGACCTTGTGGTCAAGTGCTTATCCTACAGTGCCACACCAGGACTCCATATGGGTCATAGGTGATCAGTTTTTGTTATGGATGACTGGGAGCTAGGACATGAAATAAAAGTCATACAAAGTACTTTTATGGTTACAACTCTTACATGAATAGGGAAGTATTTTGAAGCTATAGAAAAAGCATCCTGACTTAGTGTCATTTGCAAAATGAGAGTTGGTCTTGCTCTTTAATCTCTTTTATTCATGGGTTCTTTGAGTATTTCCTAATAAAAGCTGTGGACCCAGAATATTGCAGTTGTATACACATACAACACCATAACTTTTGAGTTATGGTGTTGGAGGAGAATATAGAAAGTGACTTGGACTGCCAAAAGAACCAACAGATCTGTGTTAGAAGAAGTGCAGCCAGAGTGCTCCTGAAATATTGTCAGAAGGGACCAGTTGCTGGAGAAGGATATTACGTTTGGTAAGGTGGAGGGCCAAAGAAAAAGAGGAAGACTCTCAGCGAGATGGATTGGCAAAGTGGCAGCATCAGTGGGCTCAAGCGTGGCAACAATTGTGAGGTTGGCCCAGGACTGGGCAGTGTTTTGTTCTGTGGTGCATTGCGTCGCTTTGAGTCGGTACCGACTAGATGGCACCTAATAAGAACAACAACATACACATTCCAGTTTCTGTATAATTTCTGGGTACTTGTGCATCCTCCTAAAATCTCTATGTGGTAAGAATTGTGAATTTTTGGGCCAATATTCTGATTCTTAGCTAAGGTGTTGTTAAGTGCCATTGAGCCAGTTTGGACTCAGCAGCCTCATGCACAACAGAATGAAACATTGCCTGGTCCTGCACCATACTCCACAATTGTTACACTTACTGCTGCCATTGTACTAATCCATCTAATTGGGGGCTTCCTCTTTTTCACTGTCCCTCCACTTTATCAGGCATGTTATCTTTTCCAGGGACTGGTCCCTTCTGATAATATAGTCAAAGTATGAGAGATGAAGTCTTGTTATCATGGCTTTTAAGGAGCACTCTGACTGTACTTCTTCCAAAAGATTTGTTTGTTCTTCTGGCAGTCAATATTACTCTCCAGCACCATAACGCAAATACATAAATTCTACTGTCTTCCTTATTCATTGTCCAACTTTCACATGCATATGAAGCTATTGAAACTACTGTAGCTTGGGTCAGGCACACCTTAGTCTTCAAACTAACATCTTTATATACAGTCCTTTCCTATTTGAACTTGTATAGTATGAATAGAGTTAGCAAGACATCGCTATTGGAGTCATTTCCAAGTTAGAAATCTGAATGACAGTCCCAGAAAGCACTGCTGTTTCTGCTGCCCTGACTCCTAAAGTTGAAGAGAGGTGTTAGATTTACACTTACTGTTAATCAGGTAATTTTGAGAAGCACAAAAATCGTGAAAGAACCTGAAAATGTGGACAAAGATTTCTTGAGGGCTTATGAAGTAAGTATGTTCAGGTGTATATTTAACTAAGTTCTCTGATGTGCCAGGAGGGCTAATGTTGTTCTTGATTTTAGGCTGCATTAAGACCAACTGATGTGGTCCTGGAAGTAGGGCCTGGAACTGGCAACATGACTGTCAAATTGTTGGAGAAGGCAAAAAAGGTAAAAGAGGATTTTAACATTTTGGTGTCACAAGTGATTAGCAAGCTCAACTGGTTTACTAATATGAATGTGTTTCAGTTGGTTGGTTGATTATGTTTCATGGAATCAGTTCTGACTCGTGGAGACCCTGTATGGGGTTTTTAAATCTTTATGGGAGCGGAAAGCCTCATCTTTCTCCCACAGAACTGCTGGTAGTTTCAGATTGCTTACAGTGATACTTGCAGCCTGACTTGTAACCACTTTGCTACCAGAACTCCTTAATTTTAGCTGCTGTTATTTTAATGGAGTCATGGAGGTGCTGTAGGATGAACACTAAACTGTCAAACACAGAGTTGGAAATTCAAACCTACCAGCTGCTCCTTGGAAATCCTGTACAGGATTGCTATTAGTTGGAACTGATTCTATGGCACTTAACAAAAACAACATTATTTATTTATTACTTCTTTTTAAAAAAAACAACAACTTTTTATTGTAAAATTGAGTGAAGCTTTACAAAGCAGATCATCAGTTTCACATTCAACAAATTAAATACTTTGCTTCATTGCATGGTTGCAGTCCCTCCATGTACCAACTGTTAACAGCATTTACCTCTCTTCACGTAAACTAACCCATTCCTCACTGTGTCTCCCACTACCTTCATCTTTCCTCTGCTAACTTCCTCCTTTTTTTTTTTTCTTGCCCTGTCACCTGTATTAACACGAATCTACCCTCTGTTGTTGTTGCCATGGAGTCAGTTCCGACCCATAGCGACACTGTATAGGGTTTCCCAGGAGCAGCTGGTGAGCTTGAACAGCTGACTTGGCAGTTTAAATGGCTTTACATTAATCCACAGCCCCACACTGGGACTCCCTCTAGTACATGAATAATTCCCCTTGGCAACCCACCCCCTGTAACCATCATAAATTGTTTCTTTTATCAATAAAAACTTTAAAAAATTTTAACATTGGTCTCATACAGTTTTGTCCTTTTGTGATTGACTAATTTCACTCAGCATAATTTCCTTCGGGTTCAACCATGCTGTGAGGTGTTTCACAGACTCATCACAATTCATCAACATTTTGTAGTATTCCATTGTGTTTATGTACCAAAATTCGTTTAGGCTGTCTTCATCTTTATGATATGTCTCTTGTAAGCAGCATATTGAAGGACCCTGTTTTCTTATCTATTCTGTTCTGTATGTCTCTTGGCTGGTACACTTAGTCTATTTACATTTCAGTGTTATTATCAATAGGTATGGCATAGCTCTGTGGGTTAATGCACTGGACTGCAAAGTTTGTTTGAACTGCAAGGTCGGTGGTTCAAACTCACTACCTGCTCCTTGGAAACCCTATAAAGGGTTGCTATGGGTTGGAACTGATTCGATGACATGTAACAACAGCATGAATTAATTGTTTTCATTTTTCTTCATTTTTTTTTATATGGTGCTGCTCGATTCTTTGTCCCACATAGTTTTCTGTGCTGAGTTCATTTTGTTTGTTGGTTGTCATTTTCATTTCTGTTGTGTTAATGTTTACTAAATCCTTCTGATTTTCCTCTTTTTTATTTTGATGTGCAAGTGTATTATTTTTCTTTGAGGCTACTCTATAATTCATTAATTTTTCCATGCTTAAGACAGTCTGTTTTATCTTGAGATCTACCTGACATGTTTGCCATTTGGAATTTCTTTGTCTACATTGTTGCTGTTGTTGTCAAGTGCCATTGAGTCAGTACCGACCCTGTGCACAACAGAACGAAACACTGCCTGGTTCTGGACCTACCTCACAATTGTTGCCACGTTTGAGCCCATTAATGCTAACACTTTGCCAATCCATCTAGCTGGGCTGGAGGATCTTCCTCTTTTTCTCTGACCCTCCATCTTACCAAACACGATAGCCTTCTCCAGTTACTGGTTCCTCCTGACAATATGTCTGAAGTGTGAGACAAAATTTGGCCATCCTGGCCTCCAAGGAGCACTCTGGTTGCACTTCTTCTAATACAGATCTGTTTATTCTTTTGGCAGCCCATGGTACTTTCAATATTCTCTTCCAACAACATAACTCAAATGCATCAATTCTTTTACGGTCTTTCTTATTCACTATGTGTACATTACTCCCTCTTTTTGCTATGTAGTTGATTTCATTATACATTGGTATCTCTGGTTCTATATTTTTAGTCTTGTAGGTTTGTTTTACTTTAAGTATATCAATATCTGGATTGAGTTCTGGATGGTATTGTTACATATGGTAACCTCAGGTTGTTGTGTACTGTTGTTGGTTCTCAAGCTAAAGAATAACCCTTTAGCATTTTTAGTAAAGTTGGTTGGGTCATTACAGATTCCTTTAATTTTTGTTTATCAGGAAATTTCCTAATTTTGCCATCTGGCATGGCACTGTAGGATAAGCACAGGACCATAACGTCGGTTTGAATCACAAGGTCTGTGGTTCACACTTACCAGTTGCTCCTTGGAAACCCTGTGCCAAATTGTTCTGAGTCAGAACTGACTCTATGGCACTCAAAAACAACATTTGAGGGACAGTTTTGCTGGGTATATGATTCTTTGTTGGAAATTTTTTTCTTTGAGTTTTGTATATGTCATCCGATTGCCTTCTTGCCTTCGTGGTTTCTGCTAAAAAAAATCCGTGCTTAGTATTATTTGTTCTCTTTTGTAAGTAACTTTGTTTTTCCCAAGCTGCTTTCATGATTCTTTCCTTGTCTTTGATTTTGGAAAGTTTGATTATGATATGTCATGGTCATTTTCTTTTTGGTATCCATCCTATTTGGGGTTCATTCAACTTCTTTTTTTTTTTTTTTAATGTTTTATTGTGAATTATGTAATAGTTTACATGGGAGAACATTAGTTTTACATTCATTCTATTGTATATCGTCTCATTGCCAT